ACTTCAAAAGCTTTTGATAGGGTCGATCATATATGTCTTATCAATGAGCTCAAATGGTTAGGTGTCTAATCACCTTTAACTGATTCGCTCACTTCATCTCTAGAAAATTGACATTTTAAGGTCAGGGTTAACTTCATTTTCTCTCAGGTTATGAAATGTCTTATTGTGGTTTCCCAGTATTCACAAGAAGTATCGTCAGATTTATAACTATTCGCTATTGATGTGAAACTCTGGATAAAAGTATGCAACCACGAGGATAAGTTGGTTCTTTAGAAGGATCTCACTCGACTTCAAAGTTTAGCAGATAACAATGGACTTAGATTTAGCACCTCAAAGAGTAAAGTAGTCCATTTGGGACATGTTACAGACTACGAATACCACTTAGATAACTCCTCTCTGGAGATCTCTCAGGTTGAAAAATATTTAGGAGTGTTAGTGTCGCCAACAGCGACAAAAGTCCCTTTGCACTGGTAACGTTAAAGAGCATTTTCGGCCAGAACTTTCCACATACTCTTCGACAGTTTTATTCGTCTCCAATTAGAGTACGGAAATATAGTATTTCCTCCCTCACTCCAAAACGACAAAAACACTCTGGGACTTATCCGATGGTGAGCCGTGAAATGAGTTCGGGGACTCAAATTCAAGAGTGCCTCCAATCACTAAACCATTACTCATTAGATTACTAGCGCCTTAGATGTGATCTTCTAATTACTTGTGATATCCTAGACATTTTGGAGCATCCCGTTCAACACCTACTTAGGCTTGGTCCCAACACAAACCTTATGGGTAACACTAAGAAACTAGAGACACAACACAGAAGAGAGAACTCTGGACATATCTTCTGCTCCTCAAAAGTAGTCAAATGTTGAGACTCGTTTCCGGGTGAGATAGCCCTGAGAGTCCTTGAAGAAAAAAATTGACATTTTCTTAAGGACTGAGGATGGTATCTTGCTATGATTTATTAACTTTTTTTTTCATTTATCGTTGATATACCTAGGCTCTTACATGGAGGCATCAGTGACTCACTACTTCTAGATACGGAAGCCCGTTAAGCGAAAGCTTATATTAAGTCCAGAACCATTTGAACCCTTTGAATGTACAACTACCTTGATTTCTATTGGTCACTTCAAGGACGGTATGGTCTTTTATGTTTTGTATTTGCAATTAGTTTTTTTATGCGTTTAAAATATCAATGTCTACTTTGACTTCTTACCGATCCAGGTAATTTGAAAGACGGACACGAAAGTCAACGCATAACACAATTAATTCATAGATTCCCAATTTTTGAATTATCACTAGGTTTACAGGTAATTTAATACTCATTGGTGTAATAACAATAAATAAATGGTAGTTTCTGCCTGTCAGGTACTGCGAATGACGTCGGCCGTTTAACTTGCCCTGATTATTATTTGGTAAACATCTGCATCTTGATGTTGATTTCTATGATCTAGTAGCATTGTTGAACTAGTTCAACAATGTGGTTTCGGTAATAATTAAGTTTCTAATACTTAAGTCTAATATCGGTTTCTGTGCCAGCTATTTTCCAACCGTTCACGAAATGACGAAAATGACTCACACCTTCCTAATCTATCATCATCGGTTTTGTTATATGCTGACGATGTCAAGATATGGAGAGCGATAAAAAAGTAAGGGTGGTAGTTCAGAGCTTCCAAATAACTTAGAAAAGTTACAGATACACACAGGGCGAGTTACAAATGGTTTTGGACGGAATAGAAGCTTTCGCTTAACAGGCTTCCTTATCTATTAGCAGTGGGTCACCAATACCTCCAAGCAGGAATCTAGGTATGTTGTCGATAAAAGAGGGCAAAGGAAAAATTGGTAAACCATAGTAAGACACTACCCTTAGTCCTTAAGAATATGTCAAACAGTGAGCTACCTGTTGTCCAAACACAATGACTTGGGAGTTATCGCTAGCCAAGACTTTGAAACCACTGTACATTACCGTGCAATAGCCGACAAGGATTTAAAAACCCTATGGTTAGTACGTAGAGCTTTTAGTCATGTCAATGCTAAAACCTTGTATACGGTATTCGTTCGTCCTAAACTCTAATCCACACAAGCGGCTAATTCTTGACTGAAAAGAGATTTGTTGAAAAAGGCTCAAAAAACCGCAATCAAGCTGATTACCGGAATAGCAAAGCTGCATCTGTTATCTGTCCTCCGTGCACGGCTTTTTACTTTAGTCTGTCGTATGAATTACGGATGTTGTTGACGATCTCAGGTACAGTCAGTCAGTAACAACGTAGAAATTCGTACGTACGTACATCAGTTCGAGTTGTCATACCACATTAGCACAGAGATGCAGTTGTCGATTCACACCCCGTAGTGGTAGAAGTTGTAAGAGCATAAGCAGTAATCGAAAAGATTAGGGTTTGGAGATGTTATTCAAGGAGTATAATCCAGTGAAATAAATTTGGGAAGAGAAAAAAAAGAGACAAGGAGGAATCAGGAGATTAGAATTTGGAAGAACACAGAGTGTATGCACCTGCGCCATTGAAAACGATTTTAAGCCATGTCATTCAAGGTCTCTAACCGTCGGTTGCTATCATCTCGTGGTCCCCAGTCAGGTATTCTACACCTACCAACATGGCTCAGTCCACTTGTCAGTGACTTCATGGACTTGTGCCATGTTTTGGCCTGTCCGCTCCTAGGTTTCTTCCAACCTACTCCTACACCATAAAATATAGCACATCGAGGCAGTCGGTGGTTGAGCATACTTAACACGTGTCCCAGCCATCTCAGCTGATGAAGTTTCACTACTTCATCAATGGATTTGCCATCATTACCTAGTACCCGTTTCCTAACAACTGCGTTACTTAATCGATTGTCCCAGGATATACGAGCAATGTTTCGAAAACACCTATGATCGAATACTAGTAACCTACGAATATCCTCTCCTCTTACCGGCCATGTTTCACTGCCATAAAGTAGGACGGAACGAACTGCCGCACAGTAAACGCGTCCTTTGGTTGATAGACGGATATCTCGCCTACGCCAAACCAAAACGTGGCATCAGTCCTTGAAGTCACTCATTTCTAGTCTTAGCCATGTTGGTAGATGCAGACTACTTGGTTGTGGTCCACGTGACTATCGTAACCAATGATTGGAAACTGTGGGTGGCATGGCTCAGAATCGATCACAATGGAGTCGGTGTATGCACTCTTTGTCTTCTCTCAAACTATGCGGCTAAAATTGCATTATATCTTTCTTTCTATGAACTAATTTTTTCTTTCTGTACTACATCTTGATACACAATATTTCTTTTATATATTACCATCATCGAAGTAACTGCTTCTATTAATTTGTTGTTCATCTTGTTGTGCTAATGTGTGGCAACTTGGACCGATGCATATATGTGCCTGATCCTACGTTGCAGCTGACTGACTGAACCTTGTCCTGGGTTTCGATGGAGATCCATTTCTTATGATGGTGTTCGTTGAGGCCCAGCAGCTCCTGACACGTTGAAGTTGCTGCTTCCTTGATCCCCTTCCAATTGTCCTCCATAGTAGTTTCTTGTTCTGTGTGTAGACCTTGTAAGGCGTGGTACCTGCTGTTGAGAGCTAGGTTGAATTTGTTGAGTTTGTCAGTATGTCGAATGTGGGCTATATTGAACCTTTGTAATACTGTTTGTCCAATTGTCCAGTGCTTCTTTAACTTCAGTCTCATCTTAGCAACCACCAGGTAGATGGTGATCTTAAGCTATATCAGCTCCTCTGCTGCTTTCCACGTCTCCCATTGACCTAAATATCTTAATGATGCAAATACGATCTACCTGGTTTTCTGCAGTGTGATTTAGTAAGATTCATGTATCTTTGTGTATACGTTTATGGGGAATACTGTGCCGCCTGTAAACATTTTGTTTAATGCACATCAATTTACAAATCTGTCACCATTCTCATTCATTTCTCTTAGTCAGTTCATGTCGTCCCATGATATCTTGATACTCGGTGTTATTCATTCGGACTGTTGCGTTTAGATCTCCCATCAGGATGGTCAGGGCCTTTCCTGAACACTTCGCTATTATTGATTGCAGCCTCTCGTAGAACTAGTCTTTATCGTTGTCGTTGCTATTGTTGATTGGTGCATAACAGTGGATAACGTTCATTGTGATTCCCTCCTTTGTTTTGAAAAATGCTCTGATGTTTGTGGATCCATGAGATTCCTATCCAATAAGTGGTTTTGGTGCTTCTTTGGGTAACATCAGTGCGACTCCTCGTTTGTGCATAGCATTTACTTTTTTCATGACCAGATTGCAACAGCATCTCTCCCGAATCCAACCTTTTTGTGCAGATTGGGTTCGATGGGTTTTACTTGTTCCAAGCACCACCAAGTTGTATCTCATTTCCGCAGCTATTTGATTAGTCCTCCGGGTCTCCTAGTGTCCGGGCATTCCGTGTACCGATATCAATTGTTTCTCTGGTTGTTGGAAGGTCATCAACTTCGTGAGAAACTGATACAGATAGGAGGTAATTAAGGTAGTTAAGCTATGTTCCTTCTACTTTTGGTTAATGACTTGCGTTTCTGACTCTGGTTTCTGAATTGAGACTGAGACAAGTGCTCACTCGTAGTCGTACTTTAAGTATTCCTTCTAGGTCAAACATCTGGTACGCAATGCGGTCCTTTTCTTCCTTCCGTTCTGTCTCACTGTACTTGTCCTTAACTTAAAGGCCAGTTTTAACTTCATGCTCTCTCCCACGAATTTTCTAACTGTTTGACCTTCTACCAGTTGAGCCACGTATTTCATAATATTGATACCCAAACCCATAACATTTCTTAGTGGTGACTAGGAGTGGAATTCAGAAGGTACGTTCGTTGTTTAAGGCTCAAGTAGATGTAGATAGAGCCTGGAATTGATGTTCACATTGAAACTCGGACCATAAACCGATTGTTTTTAACGTCGACGCGTTATCCACTAAAATACTGAGTTACGACAGCTAGTAAATTCTGACTGTAGACAGTATGTCGACTTATTCACACGAGGATTTCAAATCCCTTGATGTATTCATTATTTTTGGCAAATCATTCGGTTGTTTTGGCCTCACTTTTATCTACTCCACAAACATTAGCAATGAAGGTTTTGATAAATGAATAAAAATTGGGCGTTTCCAAAGTTTACTATTTTACTAATGCTTTTGTTTAAGCGAATTTTCTTCTTTAAGGGTCAATCTGTGTCACCAGCTACCTACAACTTCTCTTAGCAAAGTCTAATGAATATCAGTTCTGCGTACTTCATTTCTAATATTTCTAATCGTTTGAAACGGTCCCATTAGTTAATATATCATTGTTGCATGTATATACTCATCTGTTGTTTTTATACATAACGTATGTATCTATTTCAAGTTGTCGTTTTTTTAGGACTTGCATCCAATGTCAAAGAATATATGCTCCTTATTTTGCCAAGGTTAACTTATGAATTGAACAGTAATTCATTATCAATCATCTCATTCTAAAATTTCATGGTTATTACCTTGAACGCGATTATCTCCAGGAAAATATTTTTGAGTGTCAGTGAAGCGGTTTGTAAGGTCTCATAGAAACTCCTAGTTGAAGACTGTAAAACTAATTCAGAACCAAATGTTACCTAAACCATTACCCTACACCAGTGATGACACTAATATCTCCGAATCCACACTTAGCAATCATGGTTCGGATTTATTTTCTAACACACAACAGATAAACCCATCTTCAGTCAATTCGAATGCTCTTGATTCAAATATTAATCCTGAAACCAACCACAACGGTAAATCGCTCTTAGTTGAAGCCGCCTCATCACAAACTACAGATAATGCAAAAACTATTTCTTATCAGCTTCCCACTAACTCTGCTTATGAGTCGTTATCACTAAGTTCCAAGAAAGATGACATTATTCCAAGTTCTGCATTACTTCAGGAGATTTCAGTGAATATAGACGCTTATCGGCCTTCTAATGATTTGCCAGATAACGAAAATGTGTTAAGTGATTCTATTCACCAGTCTGACAACTTACTACTTCATAAACAAGTCGAAACACTAACATGTAAACTCATGGCCTCGCAAGATCAGATTGATCGGCTTTTAGAAGAAAAACGTATTTGGGTTGAAAATATGCAGCATGCAAATAATTCTAAGGAATCAAATCATCAAGTAACTCCAGGTGAGCTACGCGGAAGATGGATACAAGCTAAAAATTTAGCTGAAACATATAAACGCGAAAAGGAATCTATGGTTATTAAGTACGCTCAGGTAAATGTCTTGTGCTCAAATATTATTTGTATTAAAATGATCTCATACTGGTGTACATTTTTAGTTTTATATTCTAATGCATGGTCCTGTCTTACCTCAATTCTTTCCAGTCATTATTTTTATGATCAACGTTTCTCTCAACAGTTTCGACAGTTTTCCACTCCAACTATATTAATTGTTTATTTGATACACAAGTCATGGTACTCTTGGGCACCAGAAATGTTTGTGTCACGCACGTGACAAGATAATATCATGAAGCGACAGAAGAGGGAAGTAAAATAAAGAAAGAAAAAGAAAATTAAATGAGGGAATGAGTAGTATGTATCATGAGATATATTATAGTGAGCAATCAAATCAAGAAAGGCTTACAGTTGAGAGGAAACTTTAACAGGATTTCTAAACGCTTTCATTCTGAGCCATCTCTGATTATCTGTCAAGCATACAGGTGATATACTCTAGGAATCACGATGGATCAACATGTGGCAGTTCTAAACAGATTTCTTTCATACTGTGGAACATGTCATAAACTGGTCACCTCTCCACTTTTTTCACTTCAACCCAAGGTCGCCATATAGTGCGCGATGTGGAAGTCGCTGGGAGGTTATTCGTAGCACATGTCCAAGCCGTCAAAGCCGGTGTTTCAGGATGGTGACATTGAAATATTGTTAATCCACCCGGACCCATATTGATGAACCTCAGCACTACTAAAATGATGTTGCCACTTTTTGAGAAACTCTTGGGAGATGATAATGATCAAGGATTAAGAGTTACCCAGCATCTCCAGCTTGAAGAGACCAGGTTTCACAAGTAAATAGTAGAATCGCTCTCACCAGTGTTTTGTATACATAAATTTTTATAGGCAAACTAACATTGTGGGGGCGCCAAATATCAGTCAGTCAGTCAGCTACAACGTAGGACCAGGCACACATATGCATCAGTCCAAGTTGCCACACCTCATTAGCACAACAAGATGAACACCAAATTCATAGAAGAAGTCAATTCAATAGTTGTGTATAAAAGAAAGGTATAAAGCAATTTTAGTCTCACGGTTTACGAGAAGACAAGGTGTATACACCGACACCATTGTGATCAATTCTGAGCCATGTGATCCAGTCTCCAACCGCTGGTTATAATAGTCGCGCGGATCCCAACCAAGCAGTTTGCATCTACCAATATGGTCCAAACCAAAGATATCCCAGATTAATATAAGGTGTTCACTAAAGAACTTGTTGTTTCTTTCTGACATGTCTCAGAATCAGTTTCAGTGGAACGAATGCATTTACTTTGTTTTTCCTAGAATTCTGTATTTTAAGATTATTTCATGCATTTTATTTTACGAACTGTTTCCTTTTTCTCAAATCCTCTTCAAATTTAGTCTTATTTTCACCATTACTAATACTAATACCCTGATATGCCTCTTGGTAATTTCATCTTTTGTTATGGTGTAACAACTTGAGCGTATGCACATTTGTATTAGGTTCTATATTGTTTATAGTTGATTGACCTCGCCGAGAATTTACACATTTTGAAGTTGGAAAATTCTTACAACTTAAATGTTTCTTATATAGAAGTCTCACACAGTAATGTATGCTAGCTGAATATTCTCTTATTGGTTTTCTTTACTAAAACAGTCTCTATCCTATAAAGTTTATTCTTGCCAATGACAATGATGGGGTCAAAAATTCTAAGAGCAGTGAAATAAGTATCAGCTGATAATTTTGATGTAGACGGACAATTATATCAATCGTATTGTCGCAAATGATAGCCTTACATCGTTACTTCAATTTAAGTAGTTATGAAATCAGGGCTTCTCATTAAGATTTGTATATTTTACGTGATTGTCAAATACATATCAATCTTCTCAAAATTATCGATCAACTGATGAGTGCTTGCACACTAAATACGTATATATTGGTTGTTTGGATCCTCCCGTTGATGCTTAGGACTGCGATTGACCAGCATCTTTTGGCTTATGTGCATCCTGTGCAGATCACCTCAATATTTCCATTAAGCCACAAGCATTGTAAGCAGAGATTTAGATACGTCCAGCTAACGAGTCCCAAATAGAACGGAACGCGTGTTCTGGATTTCACTGCTAGCAACCATCCGTCTCTTACTATAATGCACCAAATAGTTTTCTAATCTTTAAACTAATTTTACTAACTTAGTTTTACAGTTATTTCGATCTTAAGGATTGTTGAAATTTGATTGAGTAACTAAAAAGTTGGTGTGAATTAGAAACAAGATGTAGGCGTGCAAGGTATGGTCTACTGGTAAAATCGTTCCCTTCAATAAATGTTGTATAATCAATATGTATCTAGTTTATTCTGATTTGATTATGTGACGTTTCATTTTATTGTTTCATCTAGTCTTTTAAAGTTTGGTAACTATTTTTACCTATCTAAATTTCTTCTTTCAATAGAGTGAACAGAAACGAATACAATTAGAACAACAGATTCACAGTCTGGAATGTAAAATAGGCCGTTTATTGAATTCAAATAACTTCGAACAACATCAACAGACGGAGGGAACTGAAAAGACTGATGATACAGATAAGTCTTTAGTAAAAAACCAACCTCATAAAACATCTGTGATAAATTCATCGATAGCGAACAACGACTCCAATGAGAAATCTAACATAGAACATCTTCAAAAGGTTTGTATTGGTTTTTGTGTTTCCCTAGTCATAGTGTTATTTATCATGCCTGTAAATATCGTGGTCCGTGAATCAGCGTAACATATTTCATCATTTTTTGTTACAAGGTTCTGACTAATAGCTGTTTCAAAAGCTAATGTATACTTAAAATTCCAGGCAAGTTTTCGTGTGTTAAGAATCAGCTACATATCAATGAGTCAGTTATATGCTAAGTAAAACCTGGCATATGTGCATCGGTTCAGGTTGCTATATCAAATTAGCACAGAGTGACAGAGTTATCAAGCTATATCCCAGAGTAGTAGAAGTAGTAACAGCATCAGTATTATTATTAGTAGTAGCAGCAGTAGTATTAAAAAGGTTAGGTATAGAGAGGTTTCTGGACTCAAATTTTAAAGGAAAACAAAGTGTGAATGCATATACACTATTGCAAACGGATCTGAGCCACCTCATCCAAAGTCTTTGAACATCTTTTTTGTTTAAGCACATAAACATTGGTACAAAGGGGCACCAAAATATATATGTATCACACAAATCATTAAATTTTTGCAGGGGCTGAGATGCCCGGGTAAAGGATGGGGTTTGGAAATGGGGTCGGCAACCCCACCCCGCGGAAAAAAATCTCGTTAAAAACGCCACCCCCAATCCTTTGATCCAGAGATCTAATCCGCAAGACAGTGGAGTAACGTTAGCGGATGCTGTCCCATCCTACTCCTACACAAAACAACATCGCCCGTCGAGGTTAGGGGTGGATGGACATACAGAATACTTGTCACGAACACCCCAGCTTTTGAGGATCTCAGTCAGTCAGTAACAACGTAGAACTTCGTACGTACGTACATCAGTTCGATCTACCACTTCGTCAGTCGATTTGCCATATTTATCTAGTATCCTATGTCTAACATCGGAATCGCTCACTCAATGGACCCTAGATACATAAGTGATGCTATGAAGTCACCTATGAGCAAATACTAGTAACCTGCGGATACCCTACATTCTTAATGGCAGTGTTTCACATCCATAAATTAGAACAGAGTGGATTGCTGTTCAGTAAACTTGTTTTTTGGTTGTCAGATAGATATCTAAGAAAGATTGGTTCAGCGAAGAGTTCTATTTTCAGCGAATTAATTTACAAAGCTATACAATTACAAATATGTATACTTATTTTTTCAGGATGAATATTTAAGCCATTAACAATCAAACGATTATTGCTTTCTCCGTTTAAATTTTTTTAATACCTTAGTTTATTCTACCTCACTTTCACCATGTCTAACAAAAGTTTATTGTCATTATTATTGTAATTATTATCATCCTGAAAAAGTAAGTATATATATTTGCAATTGTACAGCTTTGAAAATTAATTCGCCGAAAAGAGAACTCTTCGCTGAACCAATCTTTCTTATTTAATGTCTTAATGGGTGTATTCTGTTTACTAAAAAATTCCAAAGATAGATATCTTGCGCACGCCACTGGTGATCGAAGGTGGAAAAGTCCAGTTAAGCTTTTTCAATTCGTCCGGAAATTTCGTTCGACGTCAGCCCATCAAGGCCAGTAAAGCTCCCAAGGTAAATGAAACGGTCGATGCACACGTCCATTCCACTCTCTATCACTATTTCGGGTGTTGATGTTGGCCAGTCCTGAGGTAACATTTTTCATCTGGACGGAGGAGATCGCGTCCCAGACGTGCTTACAGTGTTGCTTAAGTTGACCAGAATGCATTTTTTCGATGTCTCCACCAAACAGAACTATATCATCTGTGTATTCTAAGTCAGCAAGTAGATCTCCTGGTAGGAAATCAACCCCTGGAAAACCAGACTATTAGAGCGTTATCTCTAAAAGGATTTCAATGACAAAGTACTGGTAATGCACTTATTATGAAAACGTAAGGCCATGTGTTTGTTGCAGGTTAGAGTTGAGAATCCTCATTGCTGAAGAGTATCATACAAAAATGAAATACTGTCCAATGTTATGTAGTTCTCAGTGTTACTCAGACTGGTGTTGTATTTTAATAAAGGGCTTTAAAATAAGTTTTCGAATAAACAAGCGAAGTAGAAATACAAATACCAGACTTTTAGTGACTCACACATTAAAATAAAACTTACTGAAATTATCATTATTCAGGTTAATTCTCTAGCAATCACAAATAGCAATCTTGATTTTGCAAGTTCGGATAAACTAAGTAATTTCTAGATCCGAAGAATCTTCTTGTAATCCAACGATGACGAATGTCAAGAAGTGAAATTTTTTGCTAATATGATGTTCTAGGTTTAGTGATAGGTACGTAATGAGTAAATCTGCTTCTGTTCATAATTTTGAGTCCCACCGCTTAGTATTCAACTCCTGATATCGGTTTTCTTACGGACCTTTAACGGGAGGTCTGTATCATCCGATAAGACTGAAAATAACATTTAACGACTTCAAGGTTTGACATCATGTTGTGCTTTATGCGTCCTTAGTGTTTTCCGCTAGTTAAAATAGTAAACTTGTGTAGCATATCTTACAATTTCATTTGATGAAGATTCCAGCTGACTTACCGCCTTCACGTGAGTACGCTTTATTCAACATTGGCGTAAGTTATTCAGAGGCTTCACCAATTTCAAGGAATCTTCGACAAAACAAATGTGCTCAAATATTTACAGTCTACGTAATCCTATTTTGGGAGACCTTGTTCCACTCTTACAAAATAATGTACAGTCGACTGTTATGCGATTAACGAATTATAAGTTTTCCAATCATTGATTTCGTTTCTACCACTTGAATAACTCTGTTATTCACATCTGTTGAGTTTAAAGTGAATTCGGAAGATAAACAAACAACTTGAAATTTTTAACGTTTGATGTCGAGCAGTCAATCAAAGTTGTAGAGTTGGCTGATCCTTTAGAAACTTGATATGAGCTGGGATGCTAAATACGAAGCCTAATCCCCTCAAGAAATTCATCATATTAGCTTTTGGATTGTCCTCAATGTTTCTATTGTCCGTGTCAGTGGAAATTTTGAAACTAATCAACTTCTGGGGGGTATTAAATACTTAGAGTGCATTACGAAGTAATCTTTACAAATATATCTTTTATGTTTGCATCATCCAAATTATAAGACTAATTAATTGTCGCATATGTTTTAGAAACTTCTATGGTTTACAGTCTCCAAGTTCACATTTGGTAAATAATATGGTGTCTTTGGATTTGTCAGACAATCTACTTTTCGACTGTACTAGTACCTTAACTTGGTGTTTGGACTTGCCTTTTCTTAGGAGTCAATCAAATAATGTTATCTGGAAAACTTGTTCTTTGAGGTTCTGCCATAATTTGTGGAACGGTTGGATAGCAGCAAGACCAAATTCAACGAGTTTTAAGTCCTATGGCTAAGTCAAACTGCCAACTAAACTGTGGTTTTCTGAATGGAAGCTGTCTCACGGATAACTATCATCTTCAGATATCCCGCCTCCTCGAAACAGGAGCAGGAGTTATAAAAGGGTTACTACAAAAACATCGCACCTCACTATAACTGATGGTTTTCATAGGGTTGATATGAAGTATGAACTTAAGTGCTGATACACAGGAAACTACTCACAAATAAAGCAGTTCTTAACTGACATCAAGCATCTGTCTCTTGAGCTCTGGGGTCGCTTTCCTAGCTTGACAAGAAAAATGCAAACCAGATAGTATAAAAAACCGTTCATAGTATAAGCAGTTAGGAAGCGACAACTGCCTACACACCTCTAATAGCGCAACAGCTCAATTTATTCATAGTTTGATCCTGTCCTGACTTCTTAACATTTCTTTAATTCACACTATCAATCTTCTTCCTCGTGACCCATCGTTTTTATACATGTTCCACCAGTGCTGAAATCTCATTCGAAGCTACGTGTTGGACTTTTTAGTTCTCAAACTCTTCCACAAATCGGACAATAGGCTTCATTAGCTAAAACTATAGAATCTCATACCGTAAATAGGACAGTAATAACTCGGAAGGTTAGAAAAGTGCGCCTGCTTCTAGTCCTTACTTACGCTTCCAGTGACTGTAACTTGGATGAAGTGGAAGATGAGTTATACAGAGTGCTTTCTACTCTTAAGGATACTAAGGATTCAGGTATAGTTAATTGTAGTGGGTGATTTTAACCGTCAAATAGGTACCCTTCGATACCCTAGCCCAGTAAACTTTAATTGTTTGCTGCAATTATATTCAGACGACTTTATTTCTACCAAGCACCAACTCTAATCATTCAGAGGTACAGTTCGACTGTAGTCATACTATAACATAATCAGAGTCCGAACTTAATGACCATTGACCTCAACTCGACGATGTATACATATAAACTTTATTGCTAGCTGTCGCTATTAAAAGGGTGTCAATGGAAGACTACTGCTTCTTTTGAGGTGCCCAAATCATTCGTCTTCTGTTTTATTAGCTGTATTTTAAGCTGTTATATATTGCATGTTAATTAATTGATGCCATTTCATTTTTAAAAAATAAGGATCTTGCTTTAGCTCGTGAGCAAATCGAAAGCTTGTCTAAAAAGCAGTCCACTGATGAGTCACGTATCAGTACATTAACGTCAAAGTTATCTCAAGTTCAAGAGTCACTTAAAAGCGAGCAAAAGAAATCTTCATCTTTGAATGAAAATTTGAATCGTGTTAACAAGTCTTTAGAAAATGCACTAAAACAAGCAAAGGTCAGTTATTATTCTAAATACATTTTCGTATTGATATATATTTAACTTTACCCCTGTTCAATTCCAACTCTACGCTACCACATTGGTAAACACTACAGTTAGAGAAAACTTACAAATATATGAAAATATAGGGAAAGTATCTGTGAAAATGCTTGAAATACTCCTTCACTGTTTGGGTTGATTTGAAGACGTTAGATGTAGTGCCTCCAGTTTGCAATTGCAGTCGTTTCTTTACTTCAGTACCCATATTATTACAGTCATCTATTAGAACACTACTAATTGATTGTTAAATAAAATTGTGTTGTAAAATGTGCTTCCTTAATTGTGATTTCATACTAACCTTAGGCTTGATAGTTCCCAGGAACTATTTATAAGATTTACACATAAATCATATAGTCACTACATTATATAGGTAAGATAAAGTGAATAACTACATTTGGGCCTCATCTCTCTGAAACATTCTTCTACGTACGATGGTACATCGATTGGATCAAACGTTTGTTCTTGAAGTAATAAACGTGCACCCATTTTCTGGAATCGTAGGTTTATGTCGTGTAAATCCTATATTTGAAACCACCTTTTTGTTTAAACACAAAAACCCTGGAACGCTATTCCAAAATGTTAGAAATATTCCTTAGTGTGTGTTATTATTATCCAGCGTCAAGGGAGCGGGCGTATTGATTGAAGACAGTATTCGAAAAGGATGTGGGAATCGTGATTGGGATTAATCAATTTATCTAAGCTTCGGGACTCGCAAGATATGCTTATCAATAACTCAGTTTATTTTCGAACAGCAGTACACGTTCACTGAATGATTATGGGGTATGACTACTTGAAATGCTGGTAAATAGTGTTAGATAAATATGTATTCGACAGTCTTTGCAGTAGAACAATTTTCTCTGTGTTGAGTGAGAAACCAAATATTCAACTTTAATGTCAAGCGTTCAGTTGAAGAGACAGAATGTAATTTATCTGATAAGTATGAGTTTATATAGATTGAGGTGACTATGGAAAACCCTATGCATCTGTGTTCTCAAGATCGTTGTCCGTTAGTTGTCCGTTGAGTTATATGAGCAATTAATAACCTATTAAAATCAAATAAACTTGCAGTCACAGACTACGATCATTTTGTGGATCCAAGCTGGGTATTCTGAACCTCCCAACTGGACTCAGTCCTGTACGTTAATATCATTTTGGTCTGATCACACTTAACCTCTTTCTAACTTACTCCTATGCTAGCAATCATATCACCTCTCATAGGTGATAGATAGTATTGTATTGGGATTCTGACCGAACTTATTAATCAGAATTTAGATTATAATTTTTCTACCCGGTATCTGCTATTCCTTGACCTTGACCAATGATACGTTCTAGTTTGTTCAGTTAACCTTGAACTATTATAAGCTACACTCCTATTAGTTGCCTATCCACAAGCCTTTATCTCCTGCTTTGAGTTTGGGAGAGTAGTCAGGGGAAAAGCTTCTACTATCATATTTCAATTACCTAATCCATCCAGTCAGTCAGCACTGTATCTATCTCAAAATTATCAGCTTATATACACAAATTATCAGACGTCACAGCAACCCAAATAAGAAATCATACGTGAAGCACGATCATGCCAGAACGAAGCAACCGGTACATAATTCTTTAACAATAATCAAGGGATACTAAAACTCACAACAATAGAAAAATAAGCCCACTGGAAGCTTACAACGAAAAAAATACAATAATACAGTTATCTAATAACTATAAAATAAAATGTATATAATCAGAACTCAGTAGCTAAGTGGCTAACGCGATGGCGTTTGGAGAGAACGGTACTGGATCCGAGTCTCAGAGTGAACATCAACTCTGAGATGCAGGTTCATCCAGCTGACGAGTCTCAAAGAAGACGGAACGTGCGTCCTGGATTTCACTGTTAGCCACTATTCATCGCTGCCCATAATGCTTGTAAATTAAGGCAATATCGAGGCAATACGCACAGTATACACATATGCCAATAAGAGACTGATCAATTTCAGTCCTAGTCATCAATGGGAAGATTCAAGTAAAACAATACTAAGTGAAATAAGCAATAATGGTTCGAAAACAAGTTCCAAAAGTTCTGACTTCCCCAATACTCGTTTCATTTTAATAGTAGCACTACTACAGTCGATGTTCCCAGCCTCCACCTCTTAGTACATTACTTATAGTTTCAGCTATACTTATTGATTCCATCATAAGTGTTCAATGGTTTGGAGATATCCACATTCGAATATTAGCAATCTATCCATATCCACAACCTTCAGAGGTCATGTTTCACAACCTTAGAACATTACAGAACGAACTACCCAGGAGTATTCTTGTTTCTTGATAGACGTATTAACTTTCAGTTAACATCACTGATAATGCGAGTTCGCGAAGTGACATAATTTATTCCTAAAATTTCATCGAATAAGTCATGCCATTATTGTATACTTTATCACATAAACAGGCTCACATGATATTACTCAGTCTTATTGTCTTGTCTTTCGTCTTCTAGTTTTTTGTTCTCAATTTCTTGTTATGAATCTCCCTTGTTGTAGCTATGCAAGTTTGAAAATTCGATTATAATTGTTTATTAGATTTATAATTTCACAGTTGATATGTTTGTGTTATCAGGACGGAAAATTGATTAAAATATGTTTCAGATGGGATCATGTTGAAACGCACTCACTAGTCCTTTTTTGAATAATTAACTCCAGTTAGGAGGCTCAAAATACTTAAATTTCCCTGCGTAAAGTTTATGTATAGACTGACAGTTTCTCATTACATCAAATTAACTTCTTTGCTTTGAAATATGTTTACGTTTTCGTCCAGGTCGTGTTTGGATTTAGCAACCAGTGTCCAAGAATACTGCACCGAAGAAAACTTATTACTTTGTAATTTTGTTTCAGTAAAGATACGACAAATCAATAAAAATCAAAAGTCATATCAGTTCTTGTTGAAATAAATATTTTCCACTTTTATTTCTTTTCCCGCTAATAGGAGGCTGAACGTCTTCGTGAACGTGAAGCTGAACGCCTCTGTTCTGAAGTTGCACTTCAGGAAGCTCAGACTAGTTTAAAACACCTTAGAATTGAAAACGACACTCTTAAGCAACAATTGAAAGCCTTGGAAAATGTAAAAAGTGATCTTGAAAAATCTCAATCTCATATAGATGAGTAAGTTGCAAAGGTGATCAATAATACCATTGTCATAACCAATAAATTCAATTCGGTAGTAATCTGTAATTCTAATTTATTTCGGAACATTTTTTCTTACTGATGGTATCCATTCCAAATGATTTTTTTTAGATATTTATACATTTCTCATAACTTTTGCTCCCGAATTTCCTTTACTTCCATCACAATTGTTTCAAGTAGTTAGTTGTATGTTTCAAATATGTAACAATTTAGTGTTCTTACCGATTATTCCACCATCATCATAAATGACTGAATGTTTTGTAAGACCCCTTGGTATTTACAAAACCAGTCTCACTGGAATTCACACATTCAAGATCTATGTTTTCGGAATTTAAATGTGAAATTTTATTGCTTTGCCAGCCTGAGTTTTCTTGAGCGAACCTTCATATATCAATTTTGGGCGTCAGGTTTATGTATATTTTCGAACATAAGGTACTAGTTGATGTTGTTGGTGCTTTTCTGGTCTAGGCACAAATTTACTTGATTTTACTCGTTCATCAATTGTGGTAATAACAACTTATATGGATGAGAGAGATGTCGTTGTTTTAACAAGCAAGGATATGAAGAAAACTGTGAGATATATATCACTAGGTAAAAAAGACTCTGCTAGACAAGTAAAGATGTGTAAGCTGTTTATTTTCCAAACTATATTTCTTCCTATCTCTTATTCTAGACTTAACAGTAAGTTATCATCCGCAAATGATTTGACATTAGAGTTACAATCATGTAAACGTCGTGTTGACCAACTATCAGATTTTACACGTCGTCTAACTGAACGCCACGCAAATCTACAAGCTGAGCATCTAGTTACACTCAGTTCGCTAGAAGAAACTAAAAATCTATTAATTGAGAAAGGTGAAGAAATTGTACAACTCAACGAGAAGCATGAAAGTGAACGTAAAGAATCAGAAGGGAAAATGAATACACTTCAGTGTGAACTCAATGACTTATCTGTAAAGGTATTTGTTTGTGTTTTATATTATGTGAGTTTAGTTGTCTTCAAATCAATCACAATACAAATGTAAAACAGCTCACAAATGTATGACCCAGGTGACGGTTCGCACTAATTACGTCTCTTCTACTTGCACTATTTGGTTTTCACGTCTCGGTGGAGCAGTCTTATTGATTGTCTGGCCACTTCAGCGTAAGCTGTAGAACATTTAGGAAGCGTGTGTCAAATGATTAAATTTTTTGTTAGATAGAGAGTATTAACAGATACAAATGTAAATTCTACCATACTCTCATATCTTTAGGAAAATTTGCAGAAGTATTTGACAATTTAGATCACCTCATATTATAAAAAACACAGAAACATTTCAATTCTCGACGTATCATCATATTTTTGTCTGAGTTACATTTAGGATAAAGATGGTTTGAAATAAGGTGTTATATAAACACCTATTCTAAATAACTCCAACTAGTGTTAACCAATTTGTTTGAAGTTGATTTTCATCACAAATTCATATTAATTGAAGGACTAATGGCTGAATCGCATCATGTTCGTAATAAAAACTTAACATGCTGGTTTTCATAATGTGTGATTTTGTATGTGTGGTTTACTGAATTTCGAACTACGGCAATTATCTACAAAATCCTAGTTATTATTGCTTTTCGCTTAGTATTAGAAGCTAGAAATTATCGTCAAACTACTTAAGCGATTTCAGTAGTATATTTTATTTATGGTCACAAAGTGGCCTTTTCTTCGAATGACCAAGAAATATGTATGGGATATATTCTCTTCTCCCTATTATTAGTTAAATAGAAATAATGATGATAAATGGCGTTGACTAACATCACCTGGTATTTCTAATTCTGACAACAGTTTGCCATAGGCCCTGATTGTATTGAGAGCTTGAATAGTAAAGAGGCTTTACTAAGTTTATATTACTTCTGTGGCACACCTGTTAATGACAAACACTGCCGCATAAGCTGTTTATCATTAGATTTGAATGCTGCCTTCAGGTTTAACAAAGTTATCGTTGAAACGATTTTGCTCATTAGCATTCGATTGATTGTCGTCTTTCACCAGTAAAGGGCTATGGAGAACGTTGAGTTTCATTGAAATCCTGAACTGATGAATGTTAGACCACCACTGAAAAATCAGAGACACTGGACGAGCGTTTGGTCCTCAGAAGTGCTCATCGAACACAGGACCTTTGGTCTCGCGCGTGAACGCCTGACTTCTAGACCAATGAGCCGGCACCAGACGGTGTTAATGTCTAACGTCAACCTACTCGCAATATTACGCGACCGTCTTCTTGGAGTTCTAGTGAGAAACCATGACCATTGGATTTCAACCGTGTCGGGTGTGATGCAGTTATCCACCAAAGAGAATAGAGAACAGTTGCTCAATACCATGGACTGGTTAAAGGTAGACATCAACACCGTTGGGTACCGACTCGGTGGTCTGGAAGTCAAGTGTTCATGCACGAAGGCCTTGTGTTCGGTTCTCACGTGCTGAATCGTGGATGAGCACTGCTGTGGAGCCCCATATTAGGACAAAACGCCCATCTACTGCATCTGGGTTTTCAGTGATAGTCTAACATTGATTAGTTCGTGATTTCAACGATACGGTCTTTTAATATAGAATTCAGTTATTAATCCTTCTCATTATTATTTCAAGCTTGTTAGCATACAACATCATTAACTTAGTTTGTTTATAGTGCTTTTCATATTTTTTTCATATGTATGCTTGTAAATATACCATTTATAGTTGAACCAGCTTAATGAATCAGAGAATTGGCTTAAAATTCAGTTAAAGGAAGAAAAAGAACGTGCTACAGCCATTCGTAAACGTGATGCTGCACGAATTAAAGATATATCTCGTGAAGTAACACGTTTGTCACATTATCAAAATAAAACAAATCAATCAGACTGTTGTCGTCCAACAATTAATCCTCTATCCGATTTAGAAAATGAATCGAATTCAAAATCGTCTACGAATTCTTTAAATGGTTCACTGAAATCTTTGGACTTAACTCAAATTATTTCTGAGGTAAATTAAAAAAGGTTCAAATTGCTGAAATCATATGTTTTTTAATGTTTCTTTTTCAGAGAAAGTTCAACTGTAAATTAAATGTTAATATTGGAATAGAACTTTATACAAAGACTTCTTTATTTTGTAGGGCTTTCGTAATTAGCTTAATTTGTAAGTGGTGTTTATCACACAGTGATGTCAGCAATGGGACTATTGAATAACAGGGAGAAATGACCATTTGATCTATCATATAATGGAACTTCTCTGAAGTGTCCACTTATGACTCTTCCAGGGATAGAACTTAGGGATTTCGGGTTTCTCAGTGAGCATTTAGCTGTTATGCCACTGGATTGGCATTTAATGGTCCATATTTTCGAATTCAGTCAATTCGTGATATAGTGAGACAGTAATCCCATACCATTAGTGACAATTGTTTCACGTTTGAAATTTCTGAAATCCATCGTTCACGATCCCTCACTAGGGCTTTAATAACACATCTAGAAAATCAGCCGTTAGTAAAACTGTTACTAATAAAGACATATCAGTGATTCACTATTAGATCAGATAATCGGAACAATGGTTTGAGCACTTCACCTCGCCTCCAGTTCTGCGATTGCCTGCTTTCCATTAACATCTTGAATAAGAAATCGATATCTGACCCATCTGCTAACACAGTTAAGAGAGCTGTAACTAGATTAATTTATTTTGGAGAAATAAACTTTGATTGTTTGATTGTCGAGGTCTTCAAGGGTGGTTGTTTAGTATTGTCAGTTAGATTGACTGTAATAGTAGGTAGAGTTCTGAAGCTGGGCATAATCCCAATTGTCTGACCGTAATCGCTGTTCATTCCAGTTCATAAGAAAGGACTGAAATCTCTTATAATCATAGGCGGTTTATTCAAATTAATTTTTTGTTTAAAATCCTAACTTACATAATTGTCATATGTACCTGTTTTATCTTCGGTTTAGGTATACGGTAATTGCTAACTGCGGAACTGTTAGACTTGTTCCAACATGATTGGGTTATTTGGAGCACGTGATAGAACCTCAACTGACACAACAACATTTTAACGTTAATAATTAACGCTGTTAGGAGATAGGGAAGACGGGATTTCCGTGGAGACTTTATATTTTGAATAGGAGTAAAAAGTTAAGATAGAGCAATCCCGTTTATATGGTACCACCCAATGACTTTGGGACGCAACACAATCAGCTAACCAGAAGTGATAACAACTAACCAGATAACGACAAAGGTCATTAAGGAAATATTAATTAGAAAAATGTCCCCGAGGTTATCGTTTAATGGAAAATTTAACATGTAACAACAAAGAACAGTTGACATGAAGTTTCCCTAGCAGAATCTTGAGGAAAGGAAAGTTTCATAATTGTGTTGTTTTGATTTAGCCTACCAACTAGGAAGTCGAAATGTTTGTCTATCCATCTATGGGCTAATATATTCTGCAACAAATACTTCCGTATCACTTTACTACCGTAACAGACGACCTTTGGTGGTTAGAGACATGCATATGTATTTAGTACTTTATTCCGCGTTTTAAAAGTATGACTCGCGGATTATGGAGCCACAGTGTGAACAATTCTGATGAAAGGAATGGAGTATTAGATAAGGGTAGTGAATCGTTGGCTTACACTGAACCTTCATTGATCAAGGTTGGTAGGACATATATGAAAGTTAGTCATCACCTATTCTGAGTCGCTTTGCTGAACTGCACATTACTAGGTTGTATAAAAAGTTAAAGGCACCCAAACACAAGTAATGATATCGCTTTATGAATTCAATGACTGTTGGCCCAGTTCATGCTAAGAAATTCATAATTTATCGTTGTTATCCGTGAGATCAGTGGTAAACGTAATAGTTTGAGGGAGTTGAACAAAATGACGAATGTAGGCCAATACTTAGCTCAAGATTTGAAGAAAAATAAAAAACGGATGTGTCTGCACTATCACTATTCATTTTGAACCTTATTTAGAATGATATGCTATGATAATATCCTGCTATTTCCTCTTTACTGTATTATTGTAAAGCCTTAGTATTATAACTATTCTAAATTATGACAGACCCCACTTTTTTATGAATAATTGAGACCTTGTCCCTCCAATGGCAAGATAACATTCTCCACTATGAATCGTTTCATTCGCTTTGTGATGAAGCATATATATGGATGAAGCTATTTCAAGTACTGTTAAAAAGGTATGAAGGCAGTTTTCACTTCCTGGTTGTTCATACTGTGGAAGGACGATTGTTCTTGAAGTACTTAAAAATGAAACTGGATTTGATTTCTTTTCAATTAATCTTGTTAACTTGATCTCATCGTGTGGTATGTTAGCTTGGGCTGGCGTATATATTTACCAGACTACATTGATTATAATTGAGTTTGATGTATACTCTAATACCTTATTCATTTATTTTTTACTTTCGGTGAACGATAAGCGCGAAAATGAAAAACTCGTTAGTCCTGTGTCGCCACTACCAATGAAGATTACAATAACTAACCAATTAGATGATTGTTTGTCATCGTCAGTTAACAATAATAATAAAATTGATAATTGTGAATCAACAGTTGTTGAAATGTCATCTAACTTCAATTGTTCAGAACGTGATGTACTTCTAGAGAAAATTGATCGTCTTCAACGTAGTCAAGTAAAATTAACAGACAAAATTGAATTTTTTCAAGAACATTGTTATCAACTTACAGAAGAATTAAATAAAAAAAGTAAAGTTATTCAGGTACTTATAAATGCCATTTTTTTTATATAAATTTTTTTTTCAACACTTCATTCCATCCTTTAATGATTCTCAATAGGGTTCATAAATGAATTAATATATACTTATGAATAATTGATTAAATATGTCCTAATCTAATAATTATATTTGCTATCGGTTGATGTTAGACCACCATTGAAAACCTGGAAGCACTGGACGGCCGTTTTGTCCTAATGTGGGACTCCTCGGCAGTGCGCATCCACAGTCCCGCTGGCGGGACTCGAACCTAGGGCCTTCAGTCTGGCGCGCGAACGTTTAACCTACTGGACCACTGAGCCGGCATCCAATGGTGTTAATGTCTAACTTCAACCAATTTCACGAAGTCGCACGACCATCTTCCGTTGTACTGATGTAGATACTTGTCTCTACCTGACACAGATTAGCCCCACTGGTCACGGCTTCTCACTAGAACTCCGAAAATTCCTTCACGAAGCTAGTCACTGGTGAGTACATAGTTATTATCAGTATAGTGTTGTGGAGATTATTATGTTATTTATTGAGATTAACACCGTTGGATGCCGACTCAGTGGTCCAGCAGTTAAACGCTCGCGCGCCAGACTGAAGGCTCCGGGTTCGAATCACGCCAGTGGGATTGTGGATGCGCACTGCTGAGGGGTCCCACATTGGAACGAAATGGCCGTCCAGTGCTTCCAGGTTTTCAATGGTGGTCTAACACCAATTGATTCTTGATCACAATCAATAACATAATAATCTCCACAACCTTATATTGATAGTTATATTTCCATTCATTAGATTTCACAGTTGTGAGTATATTTGCCCTAAGTTTTATAAATTTACAATCACAAATAAGCTGATGTTAATGTCATTAATTAGTTATATGCTGATAAATATTATTCTTTACAATATAATATTCATTTCATTTAACTTAGAAAGGTAGTGCACTGCTGAAAACGTGTACATTGGAAAAATAATCATAACGTCTATTTTTTTCTAATCGTTGTACCATACAAAAAAAAACTATATATGTCTGTAACTGACGACATAATTATAGATATTTGCAAACGATAAATGAAATTCATATTATTCATCCTAAAATTGGTATGTAAATCTAATCTAGTTAAACTGTCTGGTCAGTTTATAGTCAGTCTAATTAAAAATAATTGCATATTTCTGTTTACTTTGTGACTGTTTACAGAGTGTCATTATGTCAGAAGTATTTTGTACCAATTTTCGATAATATTGAAGTATTTTTGCGTGACAATCTTCTCAAGTCATATAAAGAATTTAATCGTTAAATGCATTTATACCGGTGGAAAATTGACAAAATTTGTGATAAATAGTTTAAAGAATATTTTCTCCTTGTAAGGGGTAGAGATTTAAAGTAATCGAATCTGATCAAATAATAATCAAAGCTATTGTGTGCATTTCTGCTTTTTTGAAGACTCTAACCAGAATGTATTCTTTATAATTTCATGTATTGCTTGTTTTGATGATTCATCCTTTTACGTGTAGATGCTTGTTGAAGTGTTAGTGAGGTTTTTATACAAAGAAGAATAAAGTATCCATCACTCTACGGAAGTCTTGTTAACGCTAAACAATCGTCGTAATGGTAATATAAAATTGCATAACATTGTTTGACGGACGTAGTATTCGAATCAATATTTTTTAGGTACGTAACTTTAGATCAATAGTTTGGGGACTTGATATTCATCATTCGGTTCACGCGTCCAAAATCTATCTTCATGTATCATATTGTTTGGTTAGCCAAGTAGCATTAGCATTCTTAATCAATTTGTATGATCGAAAGCCTTGTTAATCCATCCAAATTATATACTTTAAGTTGACTTTTTTTTCAACCCACTCAATATATATATATATATATATATATATATATATATATATATATATACTACTGATTGATAATAATAAGGTTCTCATCTCAGTAATATTTTTTAACGGTTCACTTTTAGAATCTCCTTGTTTCAATCGATAAACATTGTGGTTCAACAAATTCATTTATTAATGATAATAATCATAGTAACAGAAAAATGTTAAATGTTAATCAAAAATATAATTCGATTATATCTTCATTATCTAGTGGCAGTGCCAAGACAAAAACTGCTGATACAGGATCATGTCTTGGTGATAATACTCAAAAACTTCAAAATTTACTAGAAGATACAATATTCAAGAATATCACATTGAAAGTATGTGCTTTAAATTATATATATATGCTTTTTAGAATAATTCCGGTCCTGGTTATCATCGTGATACCTTAGATTCATGAGCAATTATTTTTAAATCCAGTTACAAATGTCTGACTCATTCATTTTTCTGAAAGCTACGTATATATATTTACAGAAGATTCTTCTGAGATCTGGATACCACTTTTCATCAAATCAAATGTTACAGAATATCTGTCTTGTTTTATCTAACAAACATGTTTCGCTGGAATTTTATATCACATATGCGAAAAAACTAGCCTTCTAACATGTGCCAACATTCTTCACTTATGCTTCTCATCTGAATGTTCCTATCACATGAAATAATGATGTTATTCATATAATGAATATGTAGGCATCTTTTAATTTTATGCTTAGTTTGATCTTAGTAGATGAGTCATCCGACGGTGGTTGTCTTTCTTGACTTGAAATCAGCATTTGACTCTGTTGACCGAGAGGTTTTGTGATAGTGTCTCTCATTGAAATGTGTACCTCAAAAATACATAGACTATGCGAAGGCCGGTTACTCGAACACTACTAGTCGAGTCAGAGTTTATGGCTAACTGTCATATGCCTTTGCAACCTCAATTAGTGTCCGTCAAGGCTGTCCACTTTTCCCGTTCGCGCGCGAGACCAAAGGCCCTGGGTTCGAATCCCGCGAGCGGGATCGTGGATGCGCACTGCTGAGGAGTCTTACAATAGGACGAAACGGCCGTCCAGTGCTTCCAGGTTTCCAAAGGTGGTGGTTTAACATCAATCGGTTCATGATCTCAATCAAAAATTTTCCATTTTTCTTTAACTACATCAAAGACCTACTGATGGAAATAACGCTCTCGTCAACTGAATTTTCGGGCATTAATCTCTTACTCGGAGGTCCAATAATCGACTTAGAATATGCAGATGATATAGTCCTGTTTGGTGAAGACGCTGATAAAATGCAGTGTTGTTGTAGCACTAAGCAACAATGCCAGAATATTTTGTATGCTCTTCTTCTCCTCCTCTAAATGTAGGTTGTTGCTTCAGGACTGGTCTTCATCAACACCTGAACTAAGGATAGAGAGTGAAGTAGTCGAACGCGTTGACAACTTCACTTATCTTGGAAGTCTGGTCAGTCGTAATAGGTTGGTGTCTGACTAAATCTCAGTACGGATTCGAAAAGCTTGTTTGGATCTTTCCAAGTTACGTGACCTATGGCGAATGCGAGATATCCGTCTATCAATTAAGGGATGAATATACTGCTTGGCAGTTCGTTCTGTTTTACTTTACGGCTGCGAAACGTGACCATTAAGAGTAGAAGATTTTCGTAAGCTATTAGTATTTGACCACAGATTCCTAAGAAATATTGCTGGCATCTGCTGGGATCACCGGGTAAGTAATAGTGAGGTTAGACGCAGGGTATTAGGGAATGATGGTGCATCAGTTGATGAGGTTGTAAATTTTCATCGACTGAGATGTTTGGGTTGTGTGTTACGTATGCCTGAAGACCGATTACCACGACATGTAATGCTAACGGGTGTTGGGATGGTTGGAAGAAAGTTAGGAGCCGCTAAACCAAAACGTTGTGTGGCACTTATATATCTGGTGCCCCCTTGTACTAATATTTATGTGTCCAAGTAAATGAATAAAACCAAAACGTGGCATCAGTCCTTGAAGTCACTCATTTCTAGTCTTAGCCATGTTGGTAGATGCAGACTACTTGGTTGTGGTCCACGTGACTATCGTAACCAATGATTGGAGACTGTGGGTGGCATGGCTCAGAATCGATCACAATGGAGTCGGTGTATGCACTCTTTGTCTTCTCTCAAACTATGCGGCTAAAATTGCATTATATCTTTCTTTGTACGAACTAATTTTTTCTTTCTGTACTATATCCTGATACACAATATTTCTTTTATATATTACCATCATCGAAGTAACTACTTCTATTAATTTGGTGTTCATCTTGTTGTGCTAATGAGGTGTGGCAACTTGTATGTGCCTGGTCTTACGTTGTAGCTGAGTGAATGGATAAGTCATTCAAAAAGGGAATTAAATATCCTGAAGATTATAATTTTAATCCTACTATATTAACCAACAGAAGATTACATTGTTTGTCAGTGTGTTGTTTGTTTATTGTCCCAGGAAGCTTGAATAGTCTGACTATTCATCATTCAAAAATTATCTATCATAGATGACTGTCGTAATCTCATTAATCCACCTCTTCTAGATAAGATTAATTCAGATAAGTAAATTTCCGTTTTATGATTTCTAATGTGTTGTAATTTGTATTTCTGAAATTTTAATTTATTTTTTCAAGGAAAGTTTAAATAAATTGGGCCTAGAAATATCCAGTTTACGTTTAACTCATGGACGTATGCTAAACTCCGTTTGTGATTTATGTAAAATAACCATTGAAGATATACTTACAGCATCGGAAAAATCTATTCATCAATCACAACACTCAAACAATCATTCAGAAACGCAATCAAAGTCAGAACCACCAATATTTCAAAATGGTGGTGTCAATGCATAAAACAGAAATTCATCTCCCAATTGTGGTTGCTACTGTTCAATATATTTTTTTCTGATTACTACTTTAACCTTACAAAAATAACCATGTTATTGAATCAAGATTTTCATTGTCCATAATTAACTTTCCAGAGTATAAGATAAAAAAGAAGACCGAATCTATCTGTTGAATCATATTTTGATGCACATTGATAAACATAATAGTCTCAAGATATTTTGCCATCCGTTTAACTCTCTCTGTCTAATATATATATATGATGTGAAATATGAAGGATGCTGCACAGTGCACTTTCATTTGTCTCTCTTCATTTTCCTCTTTTTTTTTCCGTTTCACCTGAAATACTTCTTATCGATTATAACATTCAATGTATTCTGACAGCTCTGTATTGTTCTCATTCATTATTATACACTGTAATAATAATCTTTATAATTTCTCTAGTATCTGTGATGTCTTTATAAGCATAAAATAATATCAACAGAATCATCCATTGAATGTTTTTCTTTCGAGATTACTTTTTACAAATTATGTTGGTTTTGTTTAGTTTCAAGAAAAAAGAAAAAAAGAGAATTATTTTCGTTGTTTACTTGTTATCCTATTTTATTGTTTATGTAAATGATGATATCTCTTGAATCGAATTCTTGTCAGTAGTGTATCATACATATTTTAATTAAGTAATGCATACATGATGAGTACAGTTCTTTTTTTCGAAAAAGTTTCTCGTACAATCGATCAATCTCTTAATTTTGTTTGTTTGTTTGTAATTTTTTATACTTAATGGTTTTTACCGCTTTTAAAATGTCTACAAATGTAGTCAGTTTTATAAATACTGTACAATATGTCCAATAAATTTTAATATTACCAGAGTATATTATTTTCATTAGTTAAATCTGAAAAGAGGAAATTATCATTTTCTTTCATATAGATTATTACATAGCTCGTATAAGATTTCTATCATTCGAAATGCCCTGGTACGGCCGAGAGTGGGGAGAGTCCGCTCTCCCTCTCGAAATACTCTCACACGGCCACGCGTATATAGCCTCTACCAGGGAAGTCCTACTCACTGCCTTCTCGTGGCGGGGGTGTTGTTTACGAAAATGAGAGGACGAAAAGCGAATGTCCGGCGCTTTAACCGGATTCCAAACCAATGGTGCACATGGGCTCCAGTATCCTGCGGGAACAAATGGCGAATGAATCAATTGTTGGTCACCGGCTTCCATGGGACTGCATCTCCTTACGATGCTCCACTGCCTTGTGGATCAGACCTTCAGGTCGAAGGCTCGGGGTGTGGCCCCCTAAGAAAACCACCTGCTTCGGTTTGGGCACCCGGGCAGTATCACAGCCCTCACACACATATTGAATGAGATTTGTGTGGCGCATATGTATTTGGTGCCTCTTTGTACCATTATCTATGTGTTGAAATAAATAAAACTATCATTCGAAACAGTTAGTCAGATACATATATAAAGTTAATAAAATACTGGGATTTATTCTGTATTCTAGTCTTTTTTTTTAATGACAAAAATAAAATAGTTACGATCAAGTTTTTCAAATCTGAAGTTCTTGTTAGTTGTTTTTTTTTTACATTTACTACATTTTTGTGCTGTTGCTTTCAGTTTTTTTGTTACCTTGAGCATGAGTGTCAAAAAGAGTGAAAATTCCAGAAGCAGCACCTATGGAAGTTGTATTGATTATTTTTATATCTATTTGTATTTACGTTTTCAAAACAGACTTCTAATTCCATCAGTCACTTCCAACACTTTAGGTTCACTTTGAAAGACTAGTAAAATTGTTTCTTCAATTTGATATTGGATTACATTTTTTTATGGATAAGGTGATAAGTCTTAATAAATTGTGATATTTCTCATTTTGAATGTCTTTTATATCTTCGATGCATATTAAGAATCCGTATTATCATTTTTTAAAGCTTATTGTGGAGGTTTTGGTACTATACAGCGGAGTCTGGTGTCAAATGGGGGGGGGTAGTTTTAACAATAAATTGTCAGGTATATGTTCAACCCCCTCCGTTTACATGGATCTGGATGCCCATGTATTATATCTAGTCGTTATCTAAAGAAGTGAAGCTCAATGCTTAATTTACTAGCCTGTACTTAGTTAATGAGCGATGTCTTGACTAAATACCTGAAAATTGCAGCTGAGTAGTTCAGTACATGGAAGTATTGAGACTGATATATTTTCCTAGGCTTAACTATAATATTCACTCACTTATTATCGAATGATATAAAAGGTGAGTGATCGGGAAGATCTTGTCATCCAAATATTCAAATGGAAGGATTCGAACCATAAACAGTTAACTTTTGATGTTAGACATGAAATACTTGGTTGGACGTTGGATTAGCTTGTTATTTCAGGACTACTGTTGAGACATTCACGGATAGTGACTTTGAACCCAAATAAAGCTGATTGAAACAATGAGTACTGTCGGATTATGTTTTAAGAATACAATGTCGAACACGTTTTGACTTCAGTCGCTTTAATGTGAATTTGTTTAGTACACATCCGACAGACTCCGTAGAAGTGTACACCTACATGTGTAAGAATCAAATGTATGCAATTAGTAATGCAGATCTTGCAATTAGTATGAAGGAAATGTAAGTAATTTTGGGAAGGTTCCTTCAAATTTTTAAAATCATTACTGTGAAATTGTGCATCTGGGAATATTATGATCCTTCTAGGCATCATGTGTATATTAACCAACATTCGATGAAAACGGTGTATCCACTAGATTTAAGAACCTAGATGATGATATATCAAAAATGGGACTTCTTAAAATAATAGTCGTTTATTTCACAATACATATTTTTACATCATTGTTACAGTGAATAATATCCACTTCATTAGTTCTCAGGTGTTTCATAGCATTCCTTATTGTTAAATTAGCAAATTGTGTGATTGAGGGGTCGTAAGGATAGATCGTGTACACACCAAATTGCAACTCTACGGATCATTGTGGAACAATTAATTGAATGGAATTCATCACTCTACGTCAACTCTATTGACTACGAAAAAGCTTTTGATAACGTGGACAGGATAACATTATGGAAGCTTCTTCGACACTACGGCGTGCCTCAGAAGATAGTCAATATCATACAAAATTCCTATGATGAATTAAACTGCAAAATCCTGCGTGGAGGACAGTTGACAAACCCGTTCGAAGTAAGGACCGTTCTCAGGCAAGGTTGCTTACTCCCACCATTTCTCTTTCTCCTGGTGATCGACTGGATCACGAAGACGTCAAAATCTGACAGGAAGCACGGGATACAGTGAACATCTAGAATGCAGTTGGACGATCTAGACTTCGCAGATGATCTGGCTCTTCTATCGCAGACGCAACATCAAATGCAAGAGAAGACAACAAGTGTAACAGCAGCTTCAGCAGCAGTAGGAAAAGCGAGATTCTCCGATACAACACAGCATGCACCAATCCAGTCACGATTGACGGAGAAGATTTGGAAGTTGTAAAATCCTTTACATATCTGGGCAGCATCACTGATGAACACGGTGGATCTGATGCAGGTGTGAAGGCGCGGATCGGAAAAGCAAGAGCAGCACATTTACAAATGTAAACATCTGGGACTTAAAACAACTGTCAACCAATACCAAGGTCAGGATTTTCAATACAAATGTCAAGACAGTCCTACTGTATGGGGTGGAAACCTGGAGAACTACGAAAGCCATCATACATAAGATACAAATGTTTGTCAACAGTTGTCTACGTAAAATACTTCAGATCCACTGGCCAGACACTATTTGCAACAACCTGCTGTGAGAGAGAACAAACCAGATTTCAGCAGAGGAAGAAATCAGGAAGAAGCGGTGGAAGTAGATAGGACACACATTGAAGAAAGCACCGAACTGCGTCACAAGACAAGCTCTCGCATGTAATCCTCAAGGCCAAAGGAGGAGGGGAAGACCAAAGAACACATTACGCCGAGAAATGGAGACAGACATGAGAAAAATAAACAAAAATTGGATAGAACTGGAAAGGAAGACCGAGGACAGAGTGGGATGGAGAATGCTGGTCGGAGGCCTATGCTCGATTGGGAGTAACTGGCGTAAGTAAGTGTAGTAAGCCCATCCAACTACTGTATTATTTGTCTACTCACTGTAATTTAGACACTTAATTCACTATGTTAATTTCTGTGTGTGTATGATTGAGCGAATGTCTGCACGTCAATCCTTAATCTATTCTCCCATTGGTTGTAACACACATAATCAATAATCTATCCACACTTGATTAACACTCATAAATATATATAGATTTTTAACCCACACTCACACACACACACTTTTTTGTTTCGTTGTGTGTTTGCTTGTTTTGCGCTTGCGGATATTATTAATCCTTAACAATAAAATATCTCTACAACTGGTGTTCAGGCTTCTGAATAATCTCGAGTAAATCCATAACTACTAGGACATTTAGCCAGCGTTAAATACTCAGTTAACGGGGTATCATTTATTGGAGTCAGATATAGGAGAAATTCGCCTCTTCATAAGTAATGATTGAGGGGTACAAGAGCTGTGTTCGCGTAAAACCTATTGTGTTTCTTTTTAGAGAAAGGTTCAAACTGCAAAATACTTTAGGCAATAAGAGTTCCCCTCTTTGCCATGTCACTCTGAAATATAGGTCAGAATCAAATTTTTTCTTTAGCATTTAAATATTAAGGAGAACTAATGGGATTTTCGAGACTAACTTGTCACAAAGCCACCTAAAATGGACAATCGGCTGCTCTTTGCGGCTTCGTTTATGTCCTTCAAAGTAAACTGCTCATATATTCTGCCACACATCACTCATCAAAGCAATAAACGTACTATAAAACTCAAATGTACAACCCATTTAGGTTTATGAACGAATTCAAGATCTGGAAATGTAATACAGTATATGCAGAAGTTTGAAATGAATTACATAAGATAGTATTGCATTATGTAGTAAGTGATTATTTTATAGATAGAAATTATATAGGGAAGTCGAATCTCTTATCATTGCTTCGATTATTTATAAGGGACCTCACTGTTATCTTTAATCACGAATTATAATTCAAAAAGTCATGAACTATAAATGAGCTATGGTTTCAGACTATTCATTATTCACGATAGAAAACTTACCTGGTTTATGTAAAACTAATTCAAAGAAAAAGATAATAATTGTTAAACATGTTTTATCACGAATCCAGTTTGATAAAACAATGTCAAACTATAGGTCGTTTACAATTTATCGAGTTGTCCAGCATTTATCCAATTCATTACTGTTGTTATTATACCAGGTCACTTTTGACATTTGTATTTATAAAAAGAAAGCAACAATAACAATGAATAATCAAAGCAAACTCAAAAAGAAGTAAGTCATATTAAGAATAATATGTGTATTTAGTAACTATAATTGAATTAGGCTAATTATACCTAACATTATTTCTATCATTAGCGAAATTTATTAAATGGCCAAGATTAACTATGAGAAAATTACTTTTGGCTAGCACATCTGGTACTTGTATAATAAGTAGTTATTAGAACTACTATAGAGTGTTTGTAGAAAGTGGTAAATTTTGTAGTAAATATTACCTACTGATCTTAGGCAATAAAAAACCCAGAATGCACTGGATATTTGTTTAGTCTGAGTCTGAGACTTACGAACATTGATTAATCAAGATAACTGCGAATCCTGTGAACGATTATTGATGAGACCATGAATACTTACTTCTAAGGCGTCATATAATATAGGACGAAGCAAATGTCCAGTACTTCCTATTTTTCATTGGTTGCATAACTATGATCAGTTCGTGATTTTAGCTGTAAAATCAAATAGGACTATTTGAATTGACGTTTAGTATCTTTTACTTCAGCT